AGAGACCAGTGTTGTGGGATGCCTTGTCTCCATCCTAGAGTCCTCAGCACACCTGTGATCAGGTGCCCAGTGTTCCAGGGAAGTCCAGGTGACAGTATCCACCCAACCTTGTGGTACACAAATTTGTCCTCTTTTTAATTTGTCTTGTCAGATACCCATATCTATTTCAATGCTTTCCTTACTTCACCTTTTTGGTTGTTTGTATGAGAATGGTGGATGATATGTTCTTAAAATTTGGGAGGCACTCACTGATAATTTAAAATATGATGATAGATATTGATTCGTCTGTACCCAGAAAAAAAATGTGCTTATGTAGGACTCACCAAACTGCACAAGAGAATTTTTAGACCCCCTCAGACACCAGGTTAAGAACTCTAATTTGGATTGATCAAAGGAGCCAGTGTCTGGAAAATGCTGAGACCAAATATAGTTAGTTTATGTAGATCTTCACTTTTTTCCCTTGGCTGATATCTCCACAGTTTGCCAGGCCAACCTTCACCTTTAAAAACACCCAGAGAGCAGTGTTCCTCTACCCACCACTACCTATAGGGGTGGGGTCCCAGTGGGAGTCAGTCTCTTCTCCCCAGGGGCCAGGGCCTGAGAAAGTGAGAAGAGCTTTACTGGGGAAGGTTGATCTTGGACTGGTCAGCAGTAGGGCCAGCGGCCTCAGGGAAGTACTGCTAAGGACTAAACATCCCAGAACTCCTGGGAAGGGAAGGCTAATCTGGAAACAGCCCCTTAACTAATGCTGTTTGTGAGCCCAGCAAATGGGGATCTGGAGATCAGGCAATAGAATGTTCCTTTGTGTCTCTTATTGATCCTCTTGTTTGGTTTCCTCGGGTACCCTAACTCTGCATGGGGCTGAGGACTTAGCCAAGATTAAAGGCTGGGAAATGCCAAACTCTGGACTAAAAGGGGAAGGATATGCTCCCTAACATTTTAGCAATCTTGTTTGTAGGAGCCAAGCAGCAAGTGACCCCTGACAATTCTGGGGGACCTGCTAATTTTAGCCAGTCTCAAGTGTTGTGACTTTGTTTAGATGCAGAGAGTAAAGAAGGACTTACTTAGCTCTTCTTCCCCAGCCTGGTAAAAGTTTCCTGGCCATCTCTTCTCACCTGTGTGAATTGATCAAGCTAGATCTCCCAGAAGAAAAGTCAGGCTTTTTTTGGGTCTGGAAAGTTAACAAACTTCCTTTTATTAGGATCCTGTTGAGAAAAATCAGGGGAACTGGAAATTATCTAGTGAATTGTACCCTCCCCCTCTGCACAGACATACACTCCAAACCAAGCTGCTCCTGGCTGTTCCTCGATTGTCTGTATGTTTCAAACAAACATGACTTGGAACAGGAAAGACCAAAACCCATTCCTCGTTGCCCCTCTCTGAGCTAGCAGAGCCACCATCTACCTGCCCCGCAGTTCTGGGCTGTGACAAGAAACCAATAGTTAGCTAATAGTATTCAGACCCCTGCCTGAAAATTAAAAGAAAAAAATAAACAATTTTCTGCTTGGGACAGCTTAAACTGAATAATCCTGGCTGTGAAAACCTGACCTAAATGCTTTTAATCAGAGCAGAAGAAATATATGCCCATTTGCTTCCTACTTTACTAATTAAAGAAAGCTAATTGGTGTTCTCAGGAACTTCCGACTGAGGGTCAGGAGCCTCTAGTCATGTTTTCGCCCCACCCCTCCCCCCATAGGGCCATCCCCACCGTGGAGTTGGCCTTTTTCTGGTAGACAATGGGAGGGGGGTGCTTCCTCCCAACCTCTGGCTCCACCCCTGCACTAGGACTTTGGCCCTGAAAAGGCAATGCTAAGATTGGCCAGAAGTTCTTGCCCAGCAGGGTTGTCCCCCTTCCCGTGTCCCTGGACTTGTTTCTGGAGCCAAGACCTTTCACTGGCTGCAAGTCAGCACTGCCAACTGGTGGGGTGCAGCTCCTGCTGGAGCCCCCGAGCTCAGCCTAGTGCTGGGCACAGAGTAGGCACTCAGGAAATGTTTGCTGAATGTGGAATGAAAGTCCCAAGCTGGCAAAAGCTTGTGACTTATTGGGGGGGGGGCGGGGTCTCTGGGGTGGGTGCATGAAAACTCCAAGGTTATCCTAGTTTCCTGGGCAGGACCTAGTTTTTGTCAAACGTTTCTCAGATGTTTTGTTTAGTTCCAGCTCTCTGTTCCCCTATTTATTTTCTACCCATTTTCTAAGACAGGATTCTGCTCACTCCAGCAAGGAGAAAGCCAAAGAATATAAGCCACCACTTTCCAGACCTTTCCCCCATGAGATCCAGATACTTCAGGCTAAAGGGAGTTTGAACCTGAAATGAGCCAGATAATTGCCCCAATTCTCTGTTCCTTATTGAAGAGATAGTTACAGGCCAAGGGGTCTAAGGGGCCTCACTTTTATGGACATTGCTCTAAGTCAAAAGAATACATTATACATATACAGGCTGAGACACACACCCTCCATCCTAGGCTCCTTCTCTGAGAACAAAGCAGGCTTCCTTCTCTTCCCTTCTTCCCCCTCCTCCTCTTTTCTCTTCTTCCTCCTCCTTGTTATTAAGAGTTACTATTTACTAAATGTTCCTTGTGCACCAGGCATTGTGCTGAATGCTAGATGCATAATATTAATCCTTACAACAACCTTAAGAGTTAAGACACCCCCAGATTTTGTAGATGCAGAAACTAAGAGTTTTCCAGCATGAAGCATGCACGTGTTTGAGTGTGTGTGTGTTTTCAATAAGGTTGATGTGATGCTGGCAGATCTGAATGCTTAAGCGGTATAACGATGGAAATAAAGAAAATTGAGAATGAGATGATCTGAAAGTTTTGAAATATAAAATGTTTTAATAGAACACAGTTTCTCCTGCCCTAAAGTGAACAAAGAAGTGAAGCAATTAACTGGCTAATTCCGAGACCCAAATGCTTTCCCTTGAAATGGGAGGATAATGAGGCCGACAGTATGTTCGCAGTTGAATTCGCCTGATGTTGCTCCATTTTTTTCCCTAACTTTTGCGAATCCATTGGGCAATCACAATGAGCTGCACAGACGCAGCCCGGACGTGCACATATTCGCGCACACACACACACACTCACATGCAGGAATGCTGACACACACAGACCCGACTTTATTCTGCCTCCAGAGTCTTTTATGACTCAGCCTCGGGAATGAAAATAAGGTTTGGAGTGAAATAATGTGTCCAAGGCCCAGTAGGATGCAGCTGCTCCAGATGTGTGCTCAGTAATTAGGCGTCCTCAAGAGCCCTTGCCGGCTGGGAAACAGGCATCTCCTGGGACCGCAGACCCCAGCGGGTGCCCCATATGAGTCTGCCTCATAGTAGGCACCGTGCCCTTTGCTACCTTCCCCCCCCTTCCCTCAGCCCTCTTCTTCTCTTCCTCCCCCGCAGGTGATTCTCTGGCACCTCTGTACTGCCAAGGAATAACTCTGGAGAAAATATCTGACAGAGGGCTGCGCAGTATAAAATGCTGTCTCTGCCATAGGAGGGACTCTCCCACTCTTCCCAAATCCTGGATATCTCTGAGCTCAGACTCAGAGGGGATGGGTCCCAAACAAGGCCACTCTTTCCTTGTCCCACCACAGGACTTAACAAAGAGGCTCCATTCAGGCCAAGGAGAGTGGGCTGAGTGCCAGCCCCAGCTGCCCCTTGCTTTTGGGTTTATGGAGCAGTTGTGCATCTGAGGACAAGTTCTCTTAGTTATCAGGCCCTATTTCACAAGTGTTCACGTTTCAACACATTCCCTTGCAGTAGGTCTTCTTCATCTGGGCCTTTGAGGGCCTAAGGCACTTGGCCAGGATCGCACAGTCAGGGAGGTTATAAGTGACTACCTGGCCATTTCCCAGAATGGAGGGGGCTGGATTTGTCTGGATTCTGAATCCCGGCTGAGCTTTCCCTGTATCTGCCTCCAGTTTTCTTATGCACTCTCCCAAATCTGAAATCCAAGAAACCCCAGAATTCCAACATAGACAACCCTCAAAGGCTGTCTTTCTGAAGATTAATTTTGCTTATAAGAAAGACACGCTTTAAGCCCAGCACAGGAGTGCAAGCCTGTAGTCCCAGCTTCTAGAGAGACTGAGGTGGGAGGACAGATCCCCTTGACCTTAGGAGTTTGAGACAGCCTGGGCAACCTAGGGAGATTCCCCCCATGAAGAAAGAGAGAGAGAGAAAGAAGAAAAGAAAGAAAGAGAAGAAGGGAGAGAAAAGAAAGAAAGGCCGGGCATGGTGGCTCACGCCTATAATCCTAGCATTCTGGGAGGCGGAGGCTGGAGGATTGCTTGAGCTCATGAGTTCAAGACCAGCCTGAGCAAGAGCTAGACCCTGTCTCTACTATAAATAGAAAGAAATTAGCCAAACAACTAAAAATACTGGTGCGAGCCCATAGTCCCAGAGCTGCTTCCCCAGCCGCCTGCCACCAGAAATTGCAAAAAAAGAAAAAGAAAGAAAAATCCAGCTTGAGTTTCAGGGACTGGGGTTGCTGTGAGCTAGGCTGACACCATGGCACTCTAGCCCAGGCAACAGAGTGAGACTCTGTCAAAAAAAAAAAAAAGAAAAAAGAAAAAGAAAGAAGGAAAGAAAGAAAGGAAAGGAAGGAAGAAAGGAAGGAAGGAAGAAAAAAGAAAGAAAGAGAAAAAAGAAAAGGAAGGAAAGAAGAAAACAAAGATGTTTGTTTGTCGGGGTGAGTGGTCCTCATAATTTGGGGTAAGAACATTGGATTTGGAGTTTCATCACTTTTAGTAGCTGCTGTAATCTTGGGCTAGCGGCTTAGTTCCTTCAGAACTCAGTGTGGTCTTTTGCAGGTTGGGGGAGGGGTTAAAGACGCTGGCGCTGTGCTCTAGCTGGCCGCTGGGAGATCAAAGGAGATGGAGGCTGCCGAAGGCTCCCTAGCGTCGGGGATGGCGGTAGGGAACGGGGTGGGTTGGGGCGGATGGGGCTTTGATTAGCTGTCATTTTTTCCCAGTGCACTCGTTTAACCGTGTCTCTCTTGCTTGGCAGAGGGCGCCAAAGGCGGCATGCGAGCGGCCAGCTCCAGGCGGAGCCCTGTGCGCCGCAGGAACCGGCCCCTTCACCCGGCGCGGGACGCAGAGCTGCGCGAGAATCTTGATCGGCGCGGACTCAACGCCAGGGCGCCGCCTAGAGGTCTGTTTCTGCCTTGGCCTCACCCGCCGCAACCTCAGAGCTGCTTCCCCAGCCGCCTGCCACCAGAAATTACAAAAAAAAAAAGAAAAAAGAAAAAGAAAGAAAAATCCAGCTTGAGTCTCAGGGAATGGGGTTCAGGCACCTCTGACTTCGAGACTGCTTCCCACCCCGTTGCCCCATAACGAACTCCGGAAAGGGAGAGAGGCCAGGAAATCCCAGAAATATTTATTCTTGTGGCTCTCACTGAATCGAAGAGGGTCTCAATTTTGGTTTCTTTAAGGATCTTGTGTTTTGCGTCTGTGTCTGCACCACCTCCTCTCACCATCCAAATTGTACAGCCCCAAGCAGTTATGCCAGAGCTTTGCTTTATCTTCAAGGAAGAAAGGGAGTAGTGATAAGTTGCCCCTAACTCCTACAGCTTGGCCAGCAATTTTTCTGAATTATGTGGAGATCGGTGTGCTTTTGGAAAAGTATTTGGAAAACATTTGAGTGTGAAAGGAAGCACTGCCTAAATGGCGTTTACTTACTAACAGCAGCTCAGCTAGTGTATGAACAACATTCAGGAATGTGCTTGGCAACAGCACTCCTGTCTGTGGGTGTCCATGCTGAGCTTTTGAAAGTTGATTTCTCCTTTGGTGCCAGGTGACCTCGGAAGGAGACAGCTGGCATCTGTGGAAACAAGTTTGAGCTGTCCTTCAGCCCCTTTGCAGAGAATTTAATTTTTTAAAACTGGGACCCAAGGCCTAGGTTCCAGGGATGGGGGTAGGGAGAAGCCACAAAACCCCTGAAAATGTATGCAAAATGTATGTATATGCAGGTGTACAAGGTTCTAAGACTGTGACCACTTCAGTTTTCCCGAAGAGTCTAAGACTATAAATGTTTCCATCAGCCACGGAGCCAGGGAGACTCAGGTCAGCAATAGGCTGGGAGCCAACACCTGACCTACCCCCAGAGCAGGCTCTGACCAGGCACCCCACAGAGGATGGGCCATAAAAGCCCTGAATGGTCTGAAAACTGCTGGCCCCTCAGTCCAGTCCTGCTCCTAGAGGAAAATCCTAAGCCACAGCCAGTAGCTACTTTTCAGTATTTTAAATAAAAATATAGCATGATAAAGAGCAAATTGAGGGAGTTGGGGCACATGGTAAAGAGGGGAGTTAGAGGGGCCTTCTAACACAAATCCTAGAATTTGAATGTTGGATAAAAATGAGATACTTCCTATCCTCCAGCTGTTAAAGAGCTCCCCCCTTCCTCCCTCTTGGTGCCAAGAAGGAGCCACAGGGCGCTCCTGGCACTCCCCTACCACACTGCCGCCCACCTCTGGACAGGCCAGGACACAGTGGGACTGCCAACAGCAGAGTTAGCCTTTCAGAAAATTTGGAAACTGGAGAACACAACCTAGTATTTTCCCTGCCCATTCCATTTTTTATCCATTTTTTAAAACCTTCCCCAGCACTTTGGCGCATTTTCCTGGAGGGGGAGTGGAGTTGGCTGGGTCAGGGTTGCACCTGTGAGTCTGTAGGAAGGGGGGATGCCTTTGGTGCACTAAACCCCCTCCTGGGCCTGCAGCTGGGCCTCAGTCTTGTGCCTGCACCCTGCCTGAGCCTAAGCTAATCTCAGTCCTCTGGGGTGTCTCAGACCTGAACCCTCCGTGTTTGGGGAGTGAGTCACTGTGGGGCAGGATGGAGAGCCCTTTTGCTCTCCCACCCAGAAGGGCACCTAACCAAGCCCTTGGAGCAGACAAACAGAGCAGGAAGTCAATAACTTCCCTTCTAGTTATCTGGAGCCCAAAGCAAAAAGGGGTTTTTCTTAGTTTTGGTTCACAGTGGTCTAGTGTCGATATCTGGATTTCACAAAGTTTTGAAAAAAGCAAATGACCCAGATCAGAAAATAACTATGGAGAGGAAATCCGAGACCCGGGTGGTGGTTGCTTTTGTTTAATTTTGAGGCTTTTAAGGAGCAGGAGAAGTGCCGGTGGTGGCCCTGGGCAGAGGCCTATTTGGACACCACTCGGCGCTGGCTGTCACTCGCACACCGACGGAGACTGGCCCCGGGTTTCTGCTTTGGGAGCCCCTGGCCAGCTCAGCCCCCTTTAGGCCTTGGAAGTCTTATCTCCTGTCCGTTTCTAGCAAGTACCTGGCAATAAACGGGCGGGGCAGGGCAAAGGTCTGGCCACTAAAGACGAAAAAAGAAAGGGAGAGGGGAAAACCCGCTTTCGGCGGAAGGATGGGAAGAATGGAGGCCGCTGGGTGGGGTTGGGGAAGCCGGGCTCGAGCGAGGAAGCGCCAGCGCGCCCCGCTCTGCCGCCGCGAGGAGCGGGGAGCCTCATCCGGAGCCTGGCCGGCCGGCGCTACAAACCCGCGGTGCCCTGTGAATTTTGACTTTAGGCGGCAGCTTTCAGACTTCGCCACGAGGCCGCCCGGGCTGCGCGCGGACAACTCCTGCGAGGGGCAGCGCGCCCGGCGGCTGGCGGCCCAGGCGAGGGCCCGAGGGCCGAGGCTGCTTCTCTCCACGCGGACAGAGTCGGTGCGGGCGAAAGAAAGGGGCCGAGGCGGGTGCTTCTGCCGCTCGTAAATTTGTTTCCCCTTCCTTTTAAAACGCCCCCGGCCGTCTTTCTTTTCAGGACTGGAGGGGATGTAAACCGTTTGAAGTTCATCAACACGGTGAAGTTTTATTGTATTTCCGGTCCCCAAGATTTATACCCGGGAGGGGGAGCGGACGGCCAGGCGGATTCCCCGCTACCTCGGACTTCCCCGCCCGACACGTGGCCACTCGGACACTCGCCTCCGGGGCGAGGGCGGGAGGGAGCCGGGCCGGACAGGGATGGGATTGCTCCTCCGCTCCTTCCGACGACAGCTCCGGCCCAGCACCACCGGCCGCCGCCCAGGTAAGTCGGCCGCCCTCGGGCCCGCACGCCTGCGGACGGTTGTGGATGGGTGCGGGGTGCGCGCTTGGGCATTTGTGAGGATGCGGGTATTTGGAGAGGCAGGGGTGGTGAGCAGCAGCGGAGCACGTCAGGGGGGCAAGGACCCAAACTGAAGATCAGGAAGGGAGAAGCAAATTTGTTCTCTGGGTCCCAATCCAAGTCCTTAGCCGCCAGTTCCATTTGGGAATTCGGAATGGATTGTCTTACCTGGGGCGGCTCAGCCTCTGCAGAACCAGGGCCCTGGGACTTTTCTGGGAGGGTGACTTCACAGGAGCTGTCTGGTCAACAGGCTTTCCCCTCCAAATCACACTCTTCCTCTGCTCCCTAGAGTTCTTAATACTGTCTGACACTCTGCTTTTCCGCCTCTCTCTCTTGCTTTCTCAGCACTCTTTGCCCCACTCTTCTGCCTACATCCCAGTGTCAAAGCTGGGAGTTCATGTAGGGCTTAAAGAATTGGCCTCTCAGAACTACTCTGAGAGGCTGGGTGACCCTCGAATCCAGGGACCAGCCCCATGGTAAGTGTAGATACACTTTCATAACAGTTTGATGTTGAGAATTCTTTTTATTCATGGAGACCTCCAGCTGCAGAGACTGGCTGAAGGGCAGAGAGCAAACAGGTGCACCAAAGAGGCCCTACCCAGGTCCAGGGACGTGCTAGGGGCTTCTCCTCTGGCCAGGGATCCTGGAAGACAGGAAAAGTCTGGAATCCGTAAGGATCAGCTCCAAAATGGTTTTGCCTGGAGTCCTGAGTTCAATTCTTTAGGTATGCTGTTTTCTAGCAACTGGGCTTTTCTGTTGGGGAAGAGGTGGAGAAAATAAAGTGAAGTGGCTTTTTGACCCACAAAAAGGGCCACAGGGCCTTCCCCAAGTGAGCCCTTGACCTGGAGCTTGACCCGGAACTGCTGAGTGAATTAGGTAGTTTCATGTTGTTGGGCCTGGGTTTCTGAACACAACAACATCGAACCACCCGATCCACTGCAGTTACTGCTCCTCGCTTAGCTGGAGGAGTGGGGGGCGGGGAGCGGAGGAACCAGGACTGTGTTGTATCACCTTTGCAAAATGGTGAAGAGGTTTGAGGTCCCTCATCCAGAAGCAGCAAGGATGCTCCGGAGAAGCGATCCGGGAAGTGTCTTCCCACTTCGGAATGTTTTTAGCGTGAGTGTTTGGAGGGAAAGGCGTATGGGGAACATTCAAGTCTCCAAAGGCACCTTCCTGGCAGTTGTTGAGCTGTTGTGCAGAGCTGAAGGATGGCAGAGCTCAAGTTTCCTGCCTTAGGGTCTTGGGCTCCTGTCTACATTCAGAACCTTCTAGAGAAGTTCTCCTCAACTTCACAAATACTTGGTTTCAACAGAGACACAGGGGGTTCTTGAGGCTTTTGTAACTCTTCAGGGGTCCACCTCAGTAGTTAGCTTCGGGTCCTCGAAGAGGGCTCAGTAGGTCCCATTCTGAAAAAGAAACATTGGGATCTCAGGGTCCTGCCTAGGGCCCCGTAGTGGGACGGGACCTACCGAGGTAGGTAAAAAAAAAAAAGTCCTTCCTTTTCTAGTCTCTCCATTGGCTTCTTTCTTGCCCAGTGGCCAACGGCTTCTCACTGGCCCTTGGGCTGAGCTGGAGGTTCACATAGGTCCTGAGGGCCACCCCCTGGGAGAGGAGCCTGACTTACAGACTAGTCGGGAGCCTAGGCTATTGGGCAACTCAACCCAGACTGATGCAGTGACAAGAGATGGGGGGGCAGGGTGAGACTGTGAGACCCTCTCGGACCCCAGCCCTCTTAAGGCTGCTGGCTCTGTGCCCAGGAAAGGAATAACCAGAAGTGTGGTGGAAGGAGGGGGACTGTTCCAAAGCATAAGCTAACTTTTGTTCCCAAACTTTCCCCCCTGCTCGAGGCAGAGGAAATGTGCAAAGGGGCCAGGGAAAGAGGCCCAACCGGATGGGGCTCTGGCGCCAGGCTGGCTTGGAGGGCCAGGGGGGGGTCTCTCAACAAGGGGCCTCTGCTAGGGCAGAGAAGCACTGGGGAGACCCACCCCCAGCCCAGGGGAAATGCAGCCTTCAACCACTGCCCTGATAAGCAAAGGCTAAGAGCATTGTCGCTTGATAGTGTCTGGGTGAAGATGGTCTGGCATGTCCCTGCAGCCTCACTTCCCTTCT